CAGCTGCGATAATTTTAATTTAAGTGTAGGTTTATTTATTTGTCATAAATCAGGAAGGAATGGGCCGCCGAATGGATTAAACTGTCGGTGCAGTCACATACCGCACACCCAGTAAGTGCGATACCCGACTTCAACGCCCTCTATCAGAAGGTTCATGTACGACACTGAAGGGAAAATAATGTTAGACTTATACTGTTCCTTCAAACTCCGACAATTTTATTTTGCATGTGTTCGAAATGCAAGATTAATTTGTTTATTAAAAATGTAGCGTGTAAACAGCTTGTTAATACCAGACGAAGTGTAGGGTTAATACAAAATACATTATCATCTATATAAAAGCAATACATAATGCTATGCATACACTAAAAACGGTTGATGCATACTGATACATATCGTTTGTACATAAGGAATGCAGGGTTGAAAAAGTACATACAACGTGACACTATCAGTAATTTATTACTTTTTTAAAAAGTAATGATACAAATATTTCATTTTTAATCACTGAAACATCTTCTTTTTTTTTTTACTATTATGAAACAATCAATACCACTATTTTTCATTTTATTTGTTTTTACTTTTACCTTTGTCTGTTATTAGTACCATTTTGTTGTAAAAGGTTCGCTTGAATGTTTTAACAGGTAAAGGTAACCAGTACGGAACAACTCAACAGAATCGTCATTTTATGAAGATGACTGGAAAGGTTTGAAATATCTTTCGTTATTTTTTTTTAATTTTTTTTTTTTATCTTTTTCCTTTTACTTCCTATTATCTGTTCCGAAATTTATCGTTTACCAGTTTTTGGCTAGCGAAGAAGGGATTGAACTTGTAAGAGACCGTTTGGCTGTTTAAGTATTATCAGCTAGTTAGTGAAACGGTCAATATCAATACAATGTGACAATAACAGATATTTTAAAATTGATAAATATAAATATGCATTTTCAAAGTTCCATGAGGGTCTGATCCGAAATTATGAAATTGAAAGGAAAGTAATGATCACTTCTTCATTCTAATCGACTGACGAGTTCACCGCTAGGAGGCGCTTCCTATATACCTTGTACATTGTGACGAGGCTTATGAAGAGCGGACGCTCATCGTTTTCTGTGTTAATATCTTTTCGTAAATAAATTTTGCGTTGGAACATAATATCATAATATATTTCTGTAAATGTACTTCTGCTTTTTAAGAGTTTGATTTGTTTTCGGATTTACATACTTCAATATACTTACTTATCATTTTCTCTCCTCTGGTAAAATAGATTACTAAGGTTTTCCAGGAAAACAGCTCATGAATGGAACACCTTTTTTGTTTCAATTGAAATGAACAGCTTTTATAATTGTTTTCGATAATAATCCCGAATGATGCTGCAAGTTATGAAGTATGTTTCAACATTCATTATTAAAAATGTTGACGACTTGTTTTTATTCGAGCAAACCGTGATTAATAGTATCTGGGTGTTCGTTTGTAAAACTTAACTATTTTTTTCTAAAATTTTGGACTTTTCCGCTTCAATTAAACAACATCATAATTCATAAGATTATCAGAATACGACAAGTTTCAAACTAGTTTTCTCTAATTGAAGTTTTATATGTAATTCCCTACAACATGTACTCTTACTGAAAATAGTAAACAATGGTTTATGTGAAACCTTCCTAATCACCATCTAGTAACCTTGCTTTTTCAATTGTACTTCATGAAGAATAGAACTAAAGAAGAGATGCCGTTCAACCTACTTCATATTCTTAATTGCATGGAATATGTTCAAATTAATGTACGACGAATTTTGTTCGTGATAACAGGTATTAAAGAGTGTGGACAGGTTCAATAATACATTGTGGACATTGATTTAGTTTTGATAATAATGAACAATATTTTCCTATACATGTTATACACATCTAATCATCAGTGGCCAGATATTTACGGGTGATGCAGTACATAACAACACATCCTCGATACTATAGGAGTTACGCTCTCTTTTGCTCTCTGCACCTCTGGAATATGTCACAGCAAAATATATGGCACGAAGATAGATGCTTGATTGGTCTCGGTAAAAAAACACCTGACCAATCGCTAGGCTGATTCCTGTCCTTTGTAGATTAGAAAGGAGCGACACCCGACTTCAGAACTGTCAAGTTTTGATGTACATCAAAGTATCAAACTAGTCTTCTTGTCTTATCAACAAGGTGGCGCACACTGAGCCTTCAACTTTGCTGTGACATATTCCAGGGGTGCAGAGAGCGGAAGTGACCGTAAATTCTGTAGTGTCGAGGATGATAACACCAGAATGATAGTGACTGATATGTACCGTTATCCAGCATATATTACTGAAGTACTTCTTCTCATGACGTAAAGCTAACAAGCCTAAAAAAGTGCGTTTTGGTTTCAAATAAGACACCATACACTGATTCTAATCCAATAGTCATATTTAAATGAAAAGCGAAATGTTATTTTAAATTTCAAAACATATTACTGGATATCTGTTGAAATAATGATATTTGATTGCTTACTTCCAAACAGATTATATGGTAAGTATCTGTTATCAATATAAATTGAAAGAGTTTACCATTTCAAGACTACAGCGGTTGCCAAAGCGTGTTTTTAGAATGGATGTATATTTCAACCAGTTGATTATAAACAACTGCATGCAAGTTATTCGTTCCTACATTTGCAATTGTTGGAAACGCCCTTTGATGTGTAATGGATATAAATCATTGAAGAAATTATCCACCAACTTCAAAATCAAAACGTGCCAGCCGCAGGGTGTCTGTCTGCAGCACTTCAGGGATCGTTCTTCTTTGTGTGTGTAGGTAAATAGAGTAGATGTCTACAAATATTTAATGTTTATGCTTTAGATTTTACATTAACACATACTAAGGGATAGTACGTTTGAAAGTAGGGATTCGAATCTTCATACAGCGTGAAAATATGTTTAGCGGGCTCGTCTTCACGAGAAATGTCCTGACTCAGTGGTGGCTGCTTTGGTGTACCCAGAGGGCTATCGTACGGCGCTTAATTGGACCTCCTTCCTAACTCTGTGTAACGCTAATCACCACAGTCTGTCAGTCTCGCTATCGCCAATACTTGCTCCCCCGAGAATTTCAATAACCGAAATATTTCCGTAGCGCATAGGTCAGTGTATTCTTGCTTGTTGGTTTGGGCTGGTGTAAGTGACCACGGGCAGCAACCAATCCCAGAGGTTTATGGTTTCAGACTCCCAAACCTATGTTCAACAGGTATAGAAACCCTAGATTACCAATATGTCTTCTTTATAACCTAACGAGACATCGTATATAGAAATACCGCCGCGGAATCAAATCATAAGAGGTCTTCTGTGTAGGAGCAATTTGTGCTCGGCCCGTGAAATATTATTAAACTTTCTACAGAGATTGTAACTAGTGGACACTATAAGAGAGATTTTCGATCGGAGATTTGCTGTTTGGTTAATCGACTGTGCGTCCCGCTCGCTCCCGGTATTTGAGAGAGCCCTGTGGGCTACAGTGGATAACCATTATAAAACAATCTATCTGAGCAGAATTTGTTCATCACAATTAGTCAAGGGACTTGCGTACAAGTAGTTGACATTATCCCATGTGTTCTTGGTTTTTAAAACATAAACATTTTGTGCCTGCATCAGAGGATTGGAGACAGAATTGTTGGACTAATGACTAGTTTTGAACACTTCAGGTACAACTGGTTTAAATGACTATACTACTGAACTTCTTGGATCACTTGTCATTCTGATAACGATTACTCATTCACTCGGAATATCATATTTTATTGTTATAGCTGTATTGTTTTTTCATATTTAGTTTCCTTTATAAAAAGATAATATAATAACGATTTCCTTTGTTAAATACAAGAAAACACTAATTGAGATTTAATTTGTAACGAAAATATGTAAAAAAAAAAAAAAAAAAAAAAAAACAACGTTAAAGCTGTTTATATTTGTAAAGTATAATATGTAAGATTAGGTAGTGATAAAAAGAAGAAATTGAAAATAATCCAACTGCAGCTATAAGAAGCATTCAGGTTTCAAAAAGCTTGGGAAAATGTGCAAAGGTTATACATTACACTGCAGAATGTGTGTGACACGCTGCGGATAGAATCAGAAAAGTAAACATTGTCAAACTTAATTTCTCGCGATGTTCACCCACTGTTTTTGCACTTCAACATATGTTTTCGATTACAAGAATAGTTTGAATAACTTTAATTAAATTTACAGTGTTAACATTCGAAACATTAAGAAATACTATTTTTCAAGTATTGGTTAGTAATGGTTGTCTAGAAACATGAACATTTGGTCGAACAATTAAGAATAAAAAATACATATGTTATTAAAGCAAGGTGCAGATGTGTTAAAGCCTCTGTGTATGCTAATACAGCGTGTTGGATAGTGACTATTCTATCGCCTAGCCGGGAATGGTATTGGCACCAGAGTGTCAGTGGTAAGGTGCCCTCTACAAACAAATGCATGGGAAATAAGTGCTGTCAGAATGTGACACTATTTCTAATAATTAAAAAGTAATAATTCATAAAATACTGCAACTGCACACTTGAGAACATCTTAGACATAATTATGACAGATTAATGGAATAAATGAAGCCTCTGTGCGATGTGGAATTATCTCCCACATAAGATTGGGCCAATGGTGATAACACCGCAGCCAGTAATTGCCACAGAGGCGATATACACCGAGCCGAATGCCTTCTGACCGGACCACCGTAGCGAATAGAGTCTTTTTAATATTTTATCTTCTGACAGCGCTAGTGGAACAGTTCTAATGCACACATGAAGATCATAATATTCAAAAATGGTGAACAATTCTGGCTGTTAACTAACCCTGTGAACTGTGATAAGGTTGTTATCTGATTAAGACTTTTTACACTTACAGGAAATGCGCATTTAGACAAGTGTTAATACTCCTGTGGAACGGGGGTCAGGATTGAATGTAACGAGTGCTGAAACAAAGACGTTTTTGTAATGTGTAATTTTTTATTTGTGAAATGAATTTTCCCAGGGTGATATTTTAGTTTATATACCGAGATATTTCGTAATGTAAATATTTTATCAGTCTATTTCGTGGAGTGTCGCCTGTTATTCGTAGGCGCTTGTTGCCGCAGACGTTTATGGCTGGTGCTAGATTAGGAGACGATAGTAATCTCTGCCGCGTGATGTTGACACGAAGTGTCAGTTTGTAAGGGTGGGCCCTTAGCCATACAGTGAGGCTATTGAAACTTTGACAACTAACCACACGACATATTGAAATTGTTGATGTTTAGATTCGTCATGGTATTGAAAAGAAATATATATGTTCTATGTTTCAGTGCGATAAGGAATGGAATAGCATTACCAGAGATAACAGATATACTATTCATTGATCTCAAAGTTAAGCTGTGACGACACGGAATATAAATGAAGGTACCAGTGGTCCAACCGTCACTGTCACGAAACATTACAGTTGGGTCACACTCGTTAGTTTCTCGCTGAACATACGCTTTCAGTGTAAACTTTAAAATGACGACGAATTCAAGTGTCCAAGGTGTTACTTCCGGTGTGGTAAGTCCGACGGATGAGAATACCATGGCGTCACCATCTTACGGAGAGGACATTTACATGGATTACTACGGAAACTACACATACGAGTATGATTACCAGGAGGCTCTTAACCATCTCCCCCTTAACGAGTTCATACCAACAGTTGTGTTTTATTCCTTCGTCGGACTTATTGGTCTTGTTGGGAATGTTCTTGTCATCGTCGCAATTGTTTTGTTTCCGCGCATGCGCAGTATCACCAACGTTTTCCTTGTGAATCTGGCTTCCGCTGACCTCATCTTTGTTCTCATCTGTGTTCCTGTTAAGGTAAAGTTTATACTTTATGTTTTTATTTTCATATTTTGTTATTTTAATCGAACTAGAGTAAAAGCAAACCTTTTCAAAATATTTTGAAAATTTAGCAGGACTCTTAGATGAAATTGTGATGGTTTTTCACATTTTGATAAAACATGTCCTGTAACATGTTCAGACCATTTTCCTTGTGATACTAGAACCACAAGTTGTGTATTATCTTGGCAACGTCAAAACAGGTACATTATCAGTAAGCTTGAAACAATAAAACTTTAAGAAGGGTCGTTTGAAATATTGTTAAAACTTGGTTGATGCAACACTTTACACATATCATTCATACCGTAAATTTGAGCGATCCTTTTCTTTTGATAGTTTTTACAATTTAAAGTCCTAGTTACACGATGTTAAAAATCCTCATTACAACTTTGAAAATATATTTTCAACGATTAACCTTGACGACCTTATATATCCTACAACGGTGACCTCCTTGACAACCCTTCATAGAAATTATATGTTATACTATGCAACGGTAACCTTGACAACGGTTTTTACAATATGTCGTATAACTGTTACCTTGACAAAAAAATCAATATAATGTACATCAGTAACCTTCGCATGTCTCTGTTCGAATACAACTAACAAAAGGTACCTTCACAAAACTTGTTCCCTGAAAACCTTGAAAAACCTTGTTACCATACATTGCACAACGGTAATGTTGGCCAAACACGAAACAAATTTAACGGTACCAGTTTCAACCCGTTTCAACGCTAAATCTGATAAACCTTGTACAACACGTTGACACAACGTCAAACAACTTTAGCGGTTCTTGCTAAGTGTAAATATCAACAAAACTTAAGACTACTTCAACAGCACTTGTCACAAAGAAAAATCAACGACGAAGAAGTTTTAAACAATCTTGGCAGTTTTTGCTGTAATAATTTAACAACATCTCCGATCAATATCAACATTTTAAACCGTAATAATCCTTGTTACAACCTTAACCTTCATTGTAATAACATTACAAATCAGTGTTAAATAATTATAAATGTTTGTTACAGCGGTTATCATATTACAAACTGTCAGTAGCTATATATACCCTAAAACTTCTTGTTAGAGAACATGGATGTCCTTGTATAAGTACAACTGCTTTCACTTAAGACCAGATGTTATTTTAACTGCTGCCACTTGTACTGTGTTACAAATTACCGTTTAAGATTAAGAATGTTCATATTAAACGTGTATAAACTATAAAGACTTTCCGTCATTACGAGCAGGACAAATATATCATACATAGTTGATCTTAGTAGCTGAAAATACAGACATGAATGGATGATATACTATAATTCGATTTAAACAATTCATACAATTGAACATCATGAAAACTGTACTCTTGTTTATTTTCACGGAGTGATGGGATATATTTTATAAATGTGTTTGTAAAGAGGTGTTATTAAATTTTTGTTTCATTTTCATTATTTGGTAGTAAACAAGTACACAAACTTATGTGTCTGTAAATGTATATTCAATGAAATTATAATTCATGGTATTAATATTCGCTGCGTTTTTAATTTCGCGCTGTTTTTTGTGACCGCGATTATAGCCTAGCAACCTTAAACACACATACATATATAATACATATATCTTTATCGACATATGAAAATAGTTAAAGAAGTTTGTCTGAAACTAAAAACGTATTGATTCGTTTAATGATTATACCATTAATAGAAAATGTAAAAGGATCAGAATACTTCAGGCAATTCTAACCAACGGTTTCTTCAACCAATTTACACCTTTCTTGTGTTATTTTACTCAAACAATCGACTTATACTGGACAGATTAAAAATCCATATGTAGGGTTTTCATTTCTTTGTTTGTTTGTCAAACGTGATTTTGAGATCATGTGTTTTCCTTGGACATTTCCGATAGTGTAATAAAATAAGGTAAGGTTTGTAGACATCGATTTCATTTCCATTCTCGAAAACCGAGAAACCAAACAGAGACCAAAGTATATAAATATTGTATTAATAAAATCAAAAACCGAAACACGAAATGCAATAGTTTCTAGATATAACATTGGTAATATGAAAAGTCGAAAAATAAAAGCCGTAGTATTCATTCTATGATATCACAATATTCAACACAGATTGGATATGCTAGCTATATTTAGTCCGGGAGGAATGTTCAGTTGAAGAGAACATGATAAAGCCAGAATGTTTATGTAAGAAACTACATAAGAAATAATATAGATTGGAAATGGAAGCCAGTTTTTTTTTTAAGTGAGAATGTGTACTTAAGTAGTCATTTGTTTGTGAATAGACACTTCAGCACTCTAGTGATTGACGGCACCAACAAAGGAACCCTTCTCGTGAGATAACAGTCAACAGTGACGTAACCATGGTTAGATTTACATTACTGCGAACAATGATAGCACTAGTAGAATTTTAATTCGACACCCTATCACTGCATAACAGGGATACAAAAACTCCCATCATTCTAACTAACGCTATTGTCTTTCTTACGTTAATGAGCGTGATTAATTCCTGTTGTGACGGCATAGAAGCGGATAGAGTGTCACGAGGGACCATAGAGCCATTTGTTTATGCTCTTCGGGGAAGTCTTGTTCGAAATGATGGAGTTAATAGAATGGAGCTTTTGGGAAACGTTGATTGTCGAGAGTACTCAGCAGTAGTTAAAGAGTATGAATGACACTGATTGCATACAACATATCACTAGCCGTAACAGCAATATTTGCCTGCTAGCCTAGTTATTTGGGAAACGGTAGATAATTGTTACTAATGATTGGATGATACAACTTCCAACTAAATAAACTATCTTTTATCTTTAAATTTAATTATTTCATTCATTCATAAATGCCAAATGCGATGCAGCGCAAAATTACAAAACGAAGCCAACGCAATGTTTGTTTTGTGATTTGTTACATTATTCAAAACAGTATTTTTCCTGGCCAAAGAAATCAAAATTTTATTAAAACACACTTTAATTGAGTTATTGTTCTCAATTAAGACATCAGGAAAGAATAACTTATGATACACTAGTCTGAGAAGAATTGTGACTAAAGTATTTGGAAATGCTGAGATAAGTTGTATTGGAACAGTATATTGGCAACACTATTAATTTTACTAAAATAATGAAACTAGGGCATGCTTCCTTCAACACCACTTCCATAAAGATATAGCGAGTGAAGAACTCAAGGGGGAAATATATCAAGTAACCGTGTTATTTTATATTATTTAGACATCTGAATAATTGCTTTTAGGAAACGATTAGGTTTCTCAGTTGTTTATAACGATATTATTCAGGTATCGCATCAATTATTTATAACATTGTGATTTAGGTATCTCGACAAAACGTAATCAGTATATGATTCAAATGTCTCGGCAAATGTAAAATACAGCGTTTATTAAATTATCTCAACAATATATTGGATTGTCATTAAGGTATTGGAACTATTGTTTTCGGAAAAGCATTTAAATAACTCGACAGTTACTTTCAGGATAAGGCCGTCAATTTTTTGTCACATATTGCAAATGATATTTTTATCTGCATACCGGGAAATTTGCGCCCGGTCAAACTTTCGCCCCTTGCAGGTAAAATACATATGAGTATGAATTTCGCACTTCAAATTGAATTACTACGTATATCGTATGGTTTGTTAATGTTCGCTGTTATGATTTATTCGCCCTCGCTACGTAAGGCGAAAAAGGCGAAACTAAAGAAAAACATCTGACAGAACAAAAGGTAAAGAAGGTAAATATAGAAGGGAGATTCCTAAGTAGCCTTTCAATAGGTCAAAATTATACTTTTACATGAAATATATGATGCAGACCTTTTGACAAATGCTTCCTAGTACAAGAACAATAGAAATCAGCTCTGTTATATGCTATGGCTAAAGACATTCGAACCCAAGGGATAAAATATTGAGCAAAACTCTGAGGCTTACCGAACGATCATATCCATACATCACATCAGAGATTCTGGTTCTTGCATATCATCTTAACAACTGTTCTACTGAAAACAGTTTGTAAAATATAGTGCAAATTGATTAATGTGGAAAAAAGCGAAGAGGCCTAGCGCAAGACAAAATAGTTTTATTGTCATGAGGAATACATGCAGTCAACAAATCTTACTTTTTCGCCACATGCTGACGTACAAATCATATCTTCTTAATTATTATTTGCCAGTGCACGTCTATTGTGGTGTGTATTTAGAACAATAAACGCTATAAATCGTAAGAAAGAAAAAGCTGTATTGGAAAAGATGGTCTTAGAAGCAGAAAGGCAAAGAAAGAAAAACATTTTTCTGGACCATATGACCATCTCGTCCCTTTAAGAAATGTCAAAATAATGAAAACAGACGGGCTTTGACAAACGCACGAGTGCCTACGTTGAAAACCGTAACAACTGCGTTAACCTGCACGTGCAAGCGATCAAGGCACCCCACGGATAGGATTAACAAATGTCCAGCACTACCAAAAATGCAGATTTCTCAGCTTAGTATTCATGAAATGTATTGTAGTTGTTTTCTTATACATGTACATAGCAACGTAATATAATTTGCACTTGTAGGTTGACGCTGTAAAATGTTACGTCCTTGCGTGTTGAAGCTGTTTGTTATATGCTCGTAAAACAATACATACAGCTCCGCTCTGAGCAATATTCACATATACGTCTTATTTCAGAAAATAAAGTTTACATTGGCGCTTGGTAATTGCTGGTATCATTATTATGTGCTGCGGAGAGACGCCACTGGTAAATTTCTTCATCCCCGAGGTTTGCCGTAACCTTGTTGCTGAATCAATTGACTGGTTTATCAGTCCTGGTAACAAAAGCCTTGTCCTTCAATTTCAAACGATTACCCTTCCGAAACACCTGGACTTATTCTCCTTGTACTTACTTATTAATTGATTTTAGCTAGATTAACGGTTTCATTGATACTTCGGTTTTCGCTTTGTAGTTTTTGATGGGTTTTTATGTAGTTTTATTCCTATAACATTA